GAATTCATTTGAGTGAGAAGAATAAACCAAAAATTGATTGTAAACATTGAAATTGTTAGAAGGGAAGTTATTGAAGATGCTAAAAGATATATTCCACATCCAACTTTTCTTAAATTTTCATTTTGAAATGTTAAAAATGATAAAATACTATTGATTAAACCCAAAAGAAACATAATTATTGTTAAAGCAACACTTATTTTCACTAATAATGGTTGATTCTTCAATGTCACATTTCGATTAATTTCAAAACGTAAAATATCGTCAAGAGTTATACCAATACCTTTCGTTTGAACATTACATGAACCACCAATAACACATTTCTCATGATTTTCAACTAAAAAAAATGAAATAAAGATTTGTCCTTTTATCAACTAAAGTTAAATAAACTATTTTATCTTGTGGGAGGGTGTAGATTCTCTGATCCTTGTATCTACACCCACATCCTCACGTACATAGTCTAAGTGTTTTTTGTGGGAGATTCACCAGAAGATCATACAAAGACACTTTATGGCAAAGAATTGGGTTTTCTGTTAATTTCAGTCCCCTTTCCATCTTAGAAAACAATGCGGAAGCATGACGCTAACTATGACGAAAATGTCTGAATGCTCACTAATACGTTTGAAACTGGTATTTGTTAGGCCAGATACAATGACTGAGAATGATCCTGTCGCATCTGGTTTCGATGTTGTCACAACTAATATGTATGTTACATTGACTCGAAGGTCGTATTCGTATCTAGATTTTTCAAATGAACATGTCCCCAAATACTTTGGTTTTAAATATACCCATGGATCAAATGGATCGAAACTGTGCTCGTAGATATATTCGTATATATTGATACTACTGTTACTTGTAATCATATACAACCCATCTGTAACCACACTGATTTGTATAGTTTCATAGTAATAATTTGATTTGTCACAACTACGAGAATACATTTGATGATTCACTGTTAGCTCTGATGAATACACAGATTGGACAATTGATGAAGTATCTACTCAACAAAGAACAGATCTATCAGTATTTTATTCATAACATTTTTAGATGAATTTAAAAACTTTTTCAATGCCATATTTCTTTCAAATATATATCTACAGGGTGAAGATTTTATGATAAAGATCTATATAATACGTTCATCGAGAAAACAAAAGGAAATCATAATGGTTATTTCATAATCACTTTGATAGAGAAAAGTTGATTATATTCTTTCGATTTTATTTATTTTAAAATCATCTATGGGTATCGCTGCATTAGCATTTCTGACGGAACAAATGAAGAAAGCGACAAAATAACAATTTTGTATAGAAGTTTAATGAAAAAACTTCAATAAAAGATAACGGGTGCGGTACAATAAATGAGCCTCTCAGTATTTTCGCAATATCTCTCTCAAATTT